AATTGGGCGCCGCCAGCACGGGCAGCTGCTTACATGGCCTGGCGGTCAGGGAGCCGTCGTCGGCGGCGGCGGCGGCAAAGTAGTCGTCCTGGCCGCTCAGCGCCGTCTCGGGCGCCGACTCGTCCCACTCGCCCGTGGTGATGGCGACCCCGATCTGGCCCTCCGATTCGCCGGCGACGGCGGCGGCGGCGGCGGTAGGGGCGACGGATGCGGCTGTGGCGAACAAGGTCTTGACCTTGAGGCAGGGCGCCGCCCTGTGTATGGGCACGGCGGCGGCGTTGGTCATCGTGGTCGTCGTCGTCGTCGGCGTGGGCGGCATCGAGGGCGCCGAGCGCGACGCCGTGGACGCGGCCGACGAGACGGACGTGCGCTCGGACCGCACAAACTCGCCCGTGCGCGACACGGCGGCCAGGTCCTCGTCGCGCTCGCTGATGCCGGCCGACGCGGCCGCCTGGCTGATGATGCTGGCGGCGCTGTCGCCGAGCATCAGGGACGGCAGTTCGGGTGCGGCGTCGGCGGCGGCGATCAGGCTCAGGTTCCTGCGGATGGGGCGCACGACGTAGCTCACGGTTCCGCTGCTGCGGCTGTGCGACGACGGCGGGGAGTCGGCGGCGGCGGCGGCGGCAGGGGCAGGGGCAGGGGCAGGGGCAGGCATGGCCCCGCCCTCAAAGGGCGGGCTGTAGCTAAGCGGGTCGCACTCGATGCCCGTGTCGCCCAGGGGCCCACCGTAGGCGCGGCGGTACATCTTGGTCACGTCGAACAGGGCGTGCTCGGCAAAGGACAGGCCCGGATAGACGCGCATGAGGTGGCTGCGCTGCAGGCGGCGGCGGCCGTTGGCGAGCACGCAGCGGCGCAGCTCGTCGACGGCGTCCTCAAGGCGGCGCTGGCAGCCCGTGCGCGTGTAGGCGGCCAGGGCGCGCTTGAAGGTGTAGAGGTGGTCGAGCGACAGCAGCGTCAGGCCGTCGGCCGAGAAGAGCACCTCGTTCTGCGCCACGGACCGCCGCACCAGCAGGTCCGCCAGCCCGCGCTCGGCGGGCTCGACGGCGTGCGGGAGCCAGTCGGTGCCGAGGCCGAACTTGCGCTCGGCCTTGTCGATGGTCTGCCGCAGCACCCGCTCCGCCCGCGCGTCCAGCTCCTGCGTGTGCACGAGGTGGATCCCGAACGGGTTGGGGGAGGTCTGCGTCGTGCCGGAAACGTCGGTCGACATGGTGGTCATGGACATGGCCGGCGTGGCCGGCGGCTGCGGCGTGCCTGTGTTGGTGCTGTTGGACGAGGTGCTGCGTTTGAGGCCCTTGGCGGTGGCCGCGGCGGCGGCGGCGGCGGCGGCGGCGGACGCCCTCCTCATGGTGGGCAGGATGGGCTGGGTACTGGACCGGCTGAGGCGGCCGAGGGCGGTGGACATGATGGACGGGCGGCGCGGCGGCGACGCGGCGACGGCGGCGACGGCGGCGGGCGCCGGAGCGAGCATGATGGGGATGATGCCGTCGCTCTCGTCGTCGCTGTCGCCGCTCGTAGCCACCGACATGCTGTGGCTCTGCGGCGGCGCCTCGCCCTCCTCCCTCTTGACGACGACGAGGGTGACGTTCATTTCCTTGCGCGCCAGCCTCTTGGCGACGTACTGCAGGGCCGCGTCCACGTGCGGGGGCAGGTGCTGGGCGTCGAGGAGGGACGTGCCGGCCTCGAGGGGCGCGGATATCCTGTCCTTGAGCGACGACATGGTTCCTCCTGTGGCTTGCTGCAGTCTAGGACGGAATGGGGGCAGAGACGCGATGCTCTTTCTGTCTAGTTAGCTTTTCGCGAGCAGCAGCAGAGGGCGTAGTCAGGCTTTCAGTCTATGGTTATTGTATCTTATGCGAGGGTGCTGCGGCCAGTCACTAGTGAATGGTGGTGAGATTGTTGTTGAGCATGATGATGATGGTGATGATGATGATGGTCTGGGATAAAAGGTCCCAAGACCAGCAGCGACAGAGGCTAGGTGGATATACATATAGCAATGGGGGTGTGCGGATGACTGTGCGGTGATGTTTACTACAGACCCCGGGTTTACTCGTCTGCACCGTACAGTAATAGCACTCGAAGGGAGGGCTTTGGGTGAAGGTGCAGGGATCGTCTGCCCCACATGCAAGCCCGCTAAGGGCTGTGCGGGAACCTTGGGTTGTTTTGAAACGAAACATCGTGCCGAAAGAGGCAACAAGCAAAAAGGAAAAACCGGGGTGACCAAAAAAAGAGTGGATTAAAAAAAGGCACAGCGTTTAACGCGCAGCAGCGCCAGCAACTTCTGAAACACAGGCACACAGGCACATCTGCCCCCCGGAAGCAGATCTGAGGCTTGGCGACTTGCCAACGGTGCTATTTCACGTCATGTACAGGTCCCAGGGATCAGTGCGGTCGATGCAAGATACGTTTTCTTCCTTGGAAAACCAAGCCAAACTGATGTACCACCAGGATCCACCGTGCTAAGGTTTGTGATCCCTGGGACATGTAGGTAGCTTATTCTTTTTTTTCTCCCCTCTCCATCTGACATCGACCGGCAGTGCCGGGCTTGACTCAGACCTCAAGTGAGGCTCAGCACGCGCCCGACGGCACGCGTCAATGGCTGTCTGTCTGGCAGGTGTTGTGTTCAGTTGAGCCGTGCTGTGCTGGCCCGGGGCTTGGGGCTCTCTCTCCACCCCGGATTCTTGCGTCGTCTTGGCCACGGTGCAAAGCCACTCCGCCCGACTCGGGCAGATGGGGCGAGATGAGGCGTTGACTCCCGATCCATCGCTGGAGTAATGCATCCACACAACCAAGACACACTCAGCGAGCTGCACTCGGCTGCCGAACGCTCTTCTCACCATTCCTCCCAGGCGGCCGGTTTACCCAGATGCATCAGATGGATTTTTGTCCACCGACTTTGAATGAGTTGGCAAGACTCCCCACCTTCTGCTTTGCTTCAGGAGAACTCCCTCAATTCCATGTTTTTCTGGCCCGCCTCGTCGCCTTCGGGTGGGCGCCTGGAGCGGGGACCCCAGTGATGCTCTGGAGAACAGAAAACAAGTACATAGCTACCGATAGGAAACAGGTTAGAAAATAGGACGGGAAGGAATCCCATTCCATGATCGCCGTGGCATCAGCAGCAATCACAAGCACCCCAAGATTGAAATACCCGAAACGACATTGAACATGGCGAATGAAAGTGCACAAAGGATCTGCCTTCTGTTTCGTCACATCAAAACAAACCATGACGGGCCGCGGCGGTAGGTCGCGAGAGGGTTTGCCGTCTCGGTTGTCGGCGGCTAGGAAAGTCGCTATTTTTTGCAGTCAGCACATTGCATACCAGCGCTGGTTGGTGGTGATAGTTTCAGGGGTCCTCCCCTCTCTCCATCCCGTCTGCTTCCCCTCTCCTCCGGCCCGCCACACTCATCACATCACATCACACAGCCAAGTCGGCGCTGATAGGTTTTTGGCTCTCGCTTTTCCATTCCCACCAAAACCCTACTGTACTGTACCGTCAGCCAAAACAGCATCCCCGTTCCATCCATCCACCCAACCCGCAACCACCCAACCGGCAGTCTTCCCACAACGCCTGGCTTGCAGGGGGCCCGGCATATCCTCCCCAGGGGTTTCCTGCCTCTTGTTTATGGGCAAGGGTGGGCTTTTCTGGGCGCACGGGGTACCCGCATGATGGCCCCCACACAGTCCAAAATAGAAACAATGGCCGACTCGGGAGGGGGGATCCACGCCCGACGCGCACACGCGCGCACACACACGCATGCACGAACAAAACCTCCCACTCAGCACTCGCGAACTGCGCCCGCTCGTTTGGTCGAATCAAAAAAAAGAAGCCGCCTCTCGTTCCCGGGCGACTCCCTAGGTGCCCTAGGTGCCTAGGTAGATTTGTTTGCCTATTCCCAGATACGCATGTAGATGCACATAGATTGCCCCCTATTTCTGGCCGTCCTTGTGCAATTTTGTTTGCCGCCTTCCACAGCCCAGTCGGCCTGCGGCAGGAAAATCCATCAATGCCATCTTGAGATCGCGTGCTTGGTCTGCCAACTGGCCTGGGCCTTTTAAGCGTATTTCCGTTTATTTTTGTACCCGCCTTGTGTCGTACTATGCGCATTGCGGCTCCTGACATGCCCATCGCCCCAGTGCACCCCCACACAGAGTGGCCTCTGCCAGTCCAAGCGTGATGCCAAAAGTGTCAAAGAGGAAACATCATGGCAGCAAGCATTAGCGATTATCACTTCATGGAGCCACGCCCAAAATCCCGAATGGCGGGTCGAGTCAAACTGCGCCTGCAGCATCTGGGACCACATCAGCCCCGAATCGCTTCTTGTTGCGCCCGGTTTTCCAGACACCAGTCCGCTCTATAGATAGGTATTCCCCTTCGCTCTCACCCCCTGCATTCCTTATTCTGTGGTTCTGTTCGGCGCCGGCTTGTGCCCGGGCTGCTGATCCATCACCCCAAGTCCGACTTTGCTGGGGTTGGCAGGGTTCGGGCACGTGCTGTATGCATTGCCCATCGCCATTAGGTACTGGCAAGGATGACAACAAAGACTGAAGAAAAGAGAAAATGCAAAAGGCGGCCGAGACGGTTAAGAAAAGAAGGGCATGAAGCAAGGACATGTGCGCGCTCCGGTTTAACCCGACAGCCGTGAGCTAGTGCTCTGCTTTCAGGATTGCAAATTCCCACCACGACTCCAAGCAAAAACAATGTGTGCAGGTGTCTCCTTATTTCACTCTCTTGCCCTGTGATGGTGACCCAAACTCCTCGCTTCCGGATAATCTCTTGGCGGCACGCATGAACTACCAGACATCAGATCAGAATTATCTCCCACCAACTCGACAGTAAGGGGGCAAAACGAAAGTCTGGTAGTAGGGATTTTGAGCAAGCCAGAGGAAAAAAGCCCATGTGGCCAAAAGTAAAAGTCGGGAGAGAAGAAAAAACAAACAAGAATAAACAGACAAGAATAAACACAAACAAAAAAAAATGACGTGAATCGAGTGCCGCGTTATTTTCCCTCTATCGGCATAACATCGTAAACTCGTTATCGGAGCGCGTGGTGTGTTGATCAGGGTATGTCCCGTCTTGAGGCGAACGACGGGCATGTGGGGTCAGACCCAGATTCTGTAGTAGTAGTTGTAGTGGTAGTAGTAGTAGTAGTGGGTAGTGGCAGCGGCGGTAGTAATGGCGATGGCAGGAATGGCGACAGTGGTAATAGCGGTAGAGGCAATACGCGTAGTAGCCGTTGTCGCTGTCGTGACACCATGTTCTCATCTTTGCCGTGGGTTGCTTCACTGGAGATCGCCGTCGCCAAGCTCGCCCGTTTGCTGCATGCTAAAGTCTCCCAGACTGTCCATCTGCTCCGATGATCCACAAGAGTTCTCCCATTCTTCGGTGCGGCGCTCCCAGGTTAGTGACTTACGAGGGTTATAGACGACCCAGGGCTTGCCATCTCGTCATCTAGCGACATACCGGAGGCATCGTCCTCTATGTCCTCCACCGTAAGCTTCTGCAGCGGCTCAACAACGTCTAGATATGCACACAGCGCGTCAGTAACGGGCGGTCGCCGCGTGGGAAGGAGAATAAATTGACTGGGAGGCCAAGAGTGACGCAAAAGGGTCTCACAAGCCACTTACCTCGCTTCAACGTCAGATACTCCTCCCGCCGTGATTCGTCAAGGTGTCCGGTGCCGCCGAGCTGGTCTTGTTCAAAGTATTTGTCCGTCTCGTCAAACAGCTGTTCGAAGTTCTGAAAGATCTGCTTCTGGATCTGGTTTCCACGGAGGACATAGGTCGCCTTCAAAAGCTTCAACGACTCGATAGCTACCCGTTGGGCTGCCACGTCGAGCGCCTCACTCCGATCCACGCCTCCAGCATCATCTTCAAAGTCCGCCGCGGGGCCGTGCGTGAAAATCTCCGAGAACAGGAAATCAAACACGTCGCTCCCCACCTGGGGCTCGTAGTATCCCATCAGAAAGGGTACCCATTTGTGCAGGTTTGCAAGGCCATCGCGGGCGAAGGGCATCGATTCCTGCTGGCCAGAGACGTTCAGCACCTCAAACACGTCCCGGTGGAAGTCCAGGAATGCCCTCCCCTCATTGTTATTGAGTGATCGGCACTGATCGCATATGTGCATAAACAGCTCGTTGATGCGGCTGGGGTTGCGGCTCCTGCGGCAGAAGACGACTGCTGCTCGGAGGAAAGGCTGGTTGACGTGAGATACGATGGCACCGTTGATGGCCACCATCAGCGTCGTGAGCACCTTGTACTCCATGACCATGCTGAGCCGCACAAGCGACTCGATGATGGACTCGGTTGCCGGCATGTTCTGGTTGATCACAAGCAGCTTGTCGACAAAGACATTGCCCTGGTTACGGACCCAGTCCTTCCCGATTAGCCCGAGCTCCTGCTTCGTTATCTCAAAAGGTGCGGGTGGGTCTTGGCAGGCTGCCATGTAGCGAGACGTCATGAGTGCATGTTCGGGCGCTTGGAACTCGCTACGATCGTGCGCCTGAGTTCCCCGCGGCGGCACGAGGCTCTCCAGGAGCACGGCGATGAGGCCAATGACGTTCTCGTAGCTAGGAGGACGATTCGGGAGCCTCCTAGACACCGTTGTCGCCATACGCGCGAACTGCGTCTGAGGGTCGTTCGTCTCGGCCGCAATGACCAGCACCAGTCTCCTCAGGTGGTTCTGGTCCAAGAACAAGCCCATCTCCTGCCGTCCAAGTTGCACGTATCCGAGCATGAACCCAAAGATTTCGTGCCAGGACCGGAGGTGAAGGTGGAAGTGGTCCCAAAGCTCGCTGATGAGCCCGACAGTGAGGTGAACCAAGAGGTTTTGCGCGAACGGGTTCTGATTTCCAGGCGATCCCCCGTACAGGGTCGGGCACGTGTTTTTCGCCCCCCGCATGACCGACAGGAAGAAGTCTCCGCTGCTTGTGCGGACGCGGCTGTCGGGGTTCCGCTGCAGCAGCATTCGGAAGGCCGTCCGCCGCTCGCCCAGATACGTGAGAATCTCAACGGCGCACTCGCTGCAGACCGACAACCACCTAATGAGGTTGCTGAGAATCCGATCGAAGTCGGGTACGTCCTTCTGTCGAGAAGCTACTTGGTCGAGGTGTCCGAGCGCCATGTGTATCGCCACCTTGTGCTTTCCTTGTTGATGAGCGCTTGTGTCACCTGCGATGGCGTTTCCGTATGCGAGAAGTGCGGCGCAGACAAAGTAGATGTGCGATGGCGCAAACAGACAGTGCCGTCTAAGGATGGACATGTTCTCTCTCTGAATATGCGCCAGCAGATCGTCCGGCATCGGGACACGGAGCGGGCTTGTACCCGCAACCTGCGCCAGGGCCCGATGCTCCTTTGCCAGAGAGGAAGATCGCTGGTAGAACAACATGTACGCGCTGTAGGTCTTGTCATAAGGCTGGCCGGCCCCGTCGTATGGGCTGCGCAGGTCTGGGCCGCCAAAGCAGCTCGCCTCCATGTGGGCTGGGTCCCATTGAGACACCAGGTCGTCATTGAATTCGACCCAGGTCTCGCCCGAGCCCGACGTGGGTCGCTCGCGGATATATGAGTAATAGTGACCGGACTCGGCCGTCCCAGAGTGGACGAGAACGCCGACAAGCTCGAAAATGTCTGGAACGCTCTCCTGGGACGGGTCACTGAGATGCTCGATCGTGTAAGGGCGCATGTCGATCCTTGTCGGGAACATGAAGTAGTCATTGATCTTGTTGCGCGTCAGCGAGCGGAGGTTGAAGTCGAATCGCTTCAGGTGGAAAATGAGGTTGTCCGGTATATCCTTCAGGCAGGCCCTCTTGACGGCGTCGACGTGCCGGTCGCAGGTCGAGCACTTGTACTTGTTGTCGCCCCCCATGATTTCGCCGTGCACATAGGCCTCTAGGCTTTCCTGGAGACTGCTCTTTCCCTTAATGTCGCACTGGATCGCCGAGAATGGCTCGAGTATCTCCGAGATGTGCTCGCACTCTTTGGAGCGGACTTGCTGCACCAGCTGGCCACCATAAAACGCCCTGAACTCCTTCTTGCTCTCGGGGGTCAGCAGCTGGCCCTCCCATCGATCGAAGAGCAGATTGTAGAACTCGTCGACGTCCATTTGGTTGTGGATGTCGATCGGGGTGTCGTCATAAGTCTTGATACTGGCCACGCAGTGCTGCGGGTCGGTGTATCGCCGTAGGCTGTTTTGAAGGAAGCCAAACACCGTCTGAGTCTGGAACAGGAGCTTCTGAGAGTACTCTCGGTCCGGAACATCGGCTTCGAGTATGAACTTCCGGAACCCGACGTTCATGAAGAGCTGCGTGAAGAGCGAGTTCAGGTAGCACGTGTTGGACAGGTTTCTCAACCCGACATATCCGCACGGAGCTCGAATCGCCTTGCTACGCTCAAACCCGAATGGGAGGTCGTAGTGGTATGGATCTTCGCTGTCGTCGGTGTCGATTGGGACCAGCATATCGAGGTCCTGGATCAGCCTCCCCAGCAACTCCGTGTCGTTCCCTATCGAAGCCAGCATGGATTCAAACAGATAAAGTCTGGTTTGCGGGGCGTGCACCAGCTGCGGAAGAGGACGGCGGGCACCGGTGTGCCACTCGGGGAAAAGATGCTTCCAGAAGATCCTATGTGCCAGGTCCCTGCGTAAACACGAACGGGGTTAGTGATCGAGCGAGATAGATCCGCCATGAGATTGCTTACCTTCTCCGTACGAGCCCATGCTCAGCAGAGCTGCCTTCTGGCGTCATGAGAATCTGTCTCAACATCTGTGCCAGGTTGAACGCCACCAAGTCGGGCGAATCTGGCTGGGTAATGTCCTCCTCAGCTTCATACGACAGCAGCATGTCCGACGTGACATCGAGCAGCAACTGCAAGTCCAATATGGCAGACGCGGAGTCTTTCATCGACTTGAACATCTCAAGCCACAAGTTGAAGACTTCTTCGCACTGAAAGCGTTGCTCGATGGCGGCGGGCACCAGGTTGCAGGCGAGGGGCCAGAAGAACTCTTCCAGCTGGAGCGAGGAGACCGCGAGATAGCTTTTGGGCAAGGCTTGTTAGGGTTTGCGCAAATCGGGAATATGGCGGGAACAGAGGCGGAAATGTCACTCACCTGTCTCGCCTGCTGAACTTGACCATGATCATCTCTCGTACTAAGGCCCGGGCCATGGGGCGCGGCTCCTGGAGGACGAGCCGCGTAATGACAGCAGGTATCTCGGTCGAAGCAGTGAGAGCAGCCCAGCAGACTCGTGACGACACAGCACAGTCGAGTATCGTCTGCAGCAGGGCATTGGACAGCTTTACCACAGTGTCTATAGGGTTTCGCATGGCCGCATTGGAAGCAAGCAGCGCGATGAGACGCCGGACAAGATCGCCATCTACACAATCCAAGATCCCAGGAGCGACAAGGGCCGCACTACCGTTGGGGGCAGTGAGCTGGGCGTCGCGGGTGCATGTGCGGGCGTCGTTCAGAATGGCGATCACGATGGTCATGATGGCCGTGGTCAGGTAGGCCCTCAGATTCGTTCCCCCGTTGATGAAGGTGGGACAGCTCTCTATAACGTCGTGGCTGCGGATGGCGGCGACGGCCAAAAACAGTATCCTCTTGAGCGCGTCGTCATAGGATCGTGTCGCCGACTCTCGGTCAGGTGGTGCGGCGGACTCGACCGCGCGTCGGCGAGATCGGAGAAAGTCCTCCATAGCGAAGATGGCATAGAGCGACTTGAACGTCTGCCCTACTGGAAAGACCTCGGTCGGGCTCTTGGAAGGATCTGCGATGACACCCAGAATGCGGTCATCGGCAGGAAGCCGGGTAAGGAATTGGTAGATCTGGAGACGAATCAAACGAAGTTAGCACCAATTGTTGCCCCAGCTGACTTTTCTCTCACCCTTTTGCATTTGTGCACAGCGCGCTTCTCGTGGTCAACGAGATACTCTTACCTCGGTGGCGAAGTTCGCATCCATGCCGAGGCATTCCCAAAGCTTGTCAAAATGCGACAGGATTTCAATCTCGACGGGCGACGCTCCCGGCCGGATCCGGCCCGTAGGGGCTGGCGCGGCCTCCCGCTTGACCAGGATCAAGCCGTTGTGAATATGCAGGTCCTCCAGAGACTTGCATATGTCGGCCTCCTGCGGCACAAACGGCTGCCCGCGGTAGTAGATCCTGTAGTTTTCGAAGCCGGTCGCCTCTTTCAGGCTCGCCAGCAGAGACGCCGCCGTATTTCGCCGGCCGATGTTTAGCTCCTTCACGTCAGTATGCTTGTCCCCGTCGAAGCACTGAAACTTGAGTTCCGCCGAGTCTCCCTCGACGCCGTTGGGCAACGCCAGAGGCAGGGACCTCAGGTCGGGGGTCGCAAAATGCCCCAGCCGGCTGTACATGCTGTGAAACTCACGTAGCACAGCCAGCGAGCGCACAAACAAGAGCGACTGCTCCTGGACCAGGCCCGGGTTAGAAGGCGCCACCATAGGCTCGTCATCGCCGGTGGTCGGGGGGCTGCCGAAGGACTTGAGCTGTGCCGCTGCCGAGAAGAGCTGCTTGAGACACCTGCCGACAAAGCCGAGATGTACCTTGCGGGCCCGGTGGTGCGAAAAGGCCCGGATGGATTTGCTGTTGAGGTATATGTCGTTCACAAGCAACTCGACGGCTTGCTGTTCCAGGGCGGGGTTGGTGGTTGTGAGGATCACTCGCCAGACCTGTTCGATGGCAACCCAGTCGGCGCCCTCTTCGTCGTCCAAGACGTCGCTCTTGGGGTCGTTTATGATGGGCATGATCCCTGCCCGGATAAGATCTAGGGCGCCGGTGCAAAAGCACTCGGGTGGAAGCAAGGGCAGATACTCGTTTAGGCAGGTAGTCAAGAAGGCATTCTCTGGCTTCGTCTTCCGTAGGCTCTTGAGCAGGATCTTCCACGAGGCATCGCGGTCTTCCTGGCATGCGGCGCCCTTGCCAACCATCATTTCCCACAGCCGAGACCCGAGGCCGCTACCCAAGATGGCCATGGGTTGGTAGTTCACCAGGTGGTATATCAGGTCATGTCGATAAACATTGGGTTGGCCGCTGATGGCCGGCAGGTAGCCAGCGCTGTGGCCGGCAGTGATGGCATGCTCCAGCTCATTCACCAGGAGCTCGGCAAACGAAAACTCGGTTGCCAACATCTGGATTTCCCTAGAGAGGAACAGACTTGCGAGATGGTGTGTCGCCGCGAGACTCCCTGGTGTCGTCGGCGACTTGTTCGCTATGTCCTGCATGCAGTCTCGGTACAAGACGGCTCTCCCTTCCGCGTCGGGAGCGCAGCGACTGAGAAGCAGCTCTTTGAACCTGGCATTGGCAAAATCTCGGACGTCGGGATAAGCCACGGGCGATTTGGGCCCCATGACAGAGGATTCCCTCATGAGCCGCAGACAGAGGAAATACGGCGCAAGATCAAGGGTGCGCTCGCTCTGGGCACACTTGCCCACTGCGTGCTTGAGCATGATATCTGCGAACTCTCGCACCGCAGGAGTGAAGCCCTCGATAGGTAGTGACTCCAGCTTGTGCAGGAGGTACAGCAAGCCTTCCAGTGAGAAGAGCTGACCGATGCGGCCAACCATGCGGAGCAGCGCCTCCGAGACCCGGGGATCCTGGGTCGTCGTGACCGTCTTCCACATCAGGTCGGTATGCTCGTTGGCATACGTGTTGGTAACCAGCAAGAAACCGAGGATATTAAAACTCTCAGACGTGATTTCGGGATGGCAGGTTGGCCCCAGCAGGTACGAAATCAAGTCGGACCGTAGGAGAAAATCTGCAAAAAAGTGCTGCACCGCGACGTTACGGGGATCGTGTTGCGGCTCGCTGAAGTGCTTCCAGCAGCTCACCATGTCGGCACACATCTCGCTGACGGCCATGACACGCAGCTGCATCTGGCTGGACATGATGAGCTTGCTGAACATGCTGAATCGCCACTGACAGGAAATAACCTCTGGGATGAATGTGGCGAGGATCTGTGGGTGAGCCTTGCGGAAGTCCTCGGCGCACTTCATGGCGCTAGCATTATCATTGCCGCGCAGCGCATGTTTCATGATCTCCCCGAGGCATTTGATGATGCCGCCGGTGTGTTCGTGAGAGAGGTGCGTGATGCCTTTCTCAATGATAGCAGACAGGGCCGTGGACACACCGCTGAACATGAGCCACGCAATGTCCAGGCGATTCCGCACCTTTTCGCTTGTGTGCAAAGTGCTGTTGGGAAGTGGGGGCACCGTGTCGTACAAGAGAATCAAGGAGCTCAACTGGCAGATGTGGTGGAGATTATCGCTCAGCCGAGGGAACTTGGCAAGTAGCCTGGTGTGCCACCCTGCCACTTTCCACAGGCAGGCGAAGGAGCCGCCAGCCTCTTGTCCCCGGCCCTGGTTCAGGAAAGAGTCTATCAGCCCCGATATCTCGTCCTGATGCAAGCAGGTACTGTTGTAGCTCGTCGTCGTTGCTTCGTCACGTTTGCACATGGTATTCAGGACTTGAAGGTAGAGAGGAGATATCAGGTCTGGGGGCCGACTATCTTCCATCTGGGGGGCCCTCTTCATTGTAGTGAGATCGAAGCGGGCGAAGTGTGCGGTAAGAGCGGAGAACTCGTGGAAGATACGGAGGATTCCCGCACGAAACTCCCTGTCTCTGACAGTGCTCCTAAACACAAGAAGCGGTCAGCATGGAGCAGGCTGGAGGCACGGCTGGCCACCGTAATGGGCACCGAGATGGCAAGGATAAACGCCCGTACCTTCGGAAGTAAACATTCGAGACAATCTCTGGCAGCCCAAGCCAAAGGCAGCGATGCTGCTGGAAGGATTCAAGCAGCATGGGATATGAGGCGTCTTTGGCCCACTGCCGGTACTCATGGATCCATCTCACCAGCCTCCAAGCGACGTCGTCATCTGCAGCACACATGTTAGCAAAGGCACATGCAAAGCTATACGCAGCGGCCGGGCTAACTTACAGGCCAGGATATGCTGATTGACCCTATTGACGCTCTCTTGTTGGTGCTCACCATCGTTCCTGTAGGGGAACTCGGGGGTCGGATCCTCCAACACCTCGTCGTCGTCATCGGCATTCAGTTCCACAAACCCAGAATTGTCGTCCTCGGTCACGCGGATCAGATTGTCGTCTTGTTGATTGGATGAAGAGAATACAGCGTCGAAATCACCGTCGGGTCGGGGATCGAGGACCTTGATGGGCGGACTGCCACCATCCATTGCAGATGATATTGGAGTCGAGCCCGACGTGCCTCCCTGAGACATGTCGACCTCGGACTCCTCGACGCTGACCTTGACATCGTCGACATTCGGCTCCGGAGGTTGGGTGGTCGAGGCCGGGCTCTTGGAGGAGAGCGGGGAGGAGGGTATCGTGTCCAGCGGGCGCTGTGTGTTGCGCAGATTTATGGTGACCCGACTCGACACGGGCTCGACCGAGTGTCCGGGCCCATCGGAACCCTGGTCGGGGGTGTGGGGGCTGGCCGGGTCGACGTCAACCTTCATTTTGGAGCCCTCGGGCGACAGATCGGCTTCTGGGAGTTCTGCGCCAAGGTCCTGAGAGGACCCCGCCGTACCTGGGCCAGCGGATTTCGACGGCGAGGCACCACCGCTCAATGACGTGCGGCGGCGCTTGCGGGCGGAGAGCTCGTCGTCGTCGAAGGGATTCGGACGGGTCGAGCAGGGTTCAGAGGACACGGCGCGTTCTCTCGGCTCGGGGGATCTTGAGGGTTGGTCCATCTGGCTGGGTGCAAGCGCAGGGACTGCAAGTGCGGGATTGCTCAAGCTCCAGGGTCCCTCGAGCTTCGCGCGAGGCAGCTCGGCGACAGCTTCGCGATAGCCCCCACACTAGCATACGTCAGGTCGGCGGGCGGGCGGACGAACCTGGATCGGCGGGCGGGGTGGATCAAACTACAGGCTGCGTCTCAGTGAGTTAGAATGAGCGCAGGAGCCTCAAATTGCACGCGAACGCGAACCTGCAGTCCCGGGAGGGTGGCAGGAATTATGGGTGGGCAAGGCTGAGGGTGGATTGAACCTAGGTGACGGCGGAGCAGGGCGGGACGAGGCCGAGGGTGGAAGTCACCACTAGTCGCGGGTGCAGGCGGAAGCAGGCGGAAGCAGGCGGGAGGCGCGAGCACGACCTGGGCCTATTGATGGGCCTACAAGGTAGGATGTGGGTTTTGGGAGATGTGCGAGGTGGCAGGCAGGCAGGCAGCACCGCCCGGTTGATGGCAGCTGCAGCCCGGAGCTGGGTGCCTAGGAGGTACAGGCAACTGCGAAGGGAGTTGGGGAAGGCGGGCGGTACCTGGGATTCGATGAAAGCGGAGTGACGCTGCAGAGTGGGGACAGGGCGTGGGACAAGTGAATGAACGTGCAATCGACGACTTTTCTTCTTCTTTTTTCTTCTTTGCTTCTCTTTGATGACACGAGTACCTATCCGGTCTGTTTTTCGGCAAGATCCCTCATCCGTGCTGGAGCTGGCAGCCTTTGGGGGCAGGGACTGGGAACGTTGGACGGGCTGGGGAGATGGGATCTGACTTGCCGTAGCTTGGAGCTGGTGTTCAGGTATGAGAATCCTGAGGCGCTTGCAAATTCGCCGTCCCGTCCGCAACGCACCCTGGAAAGCCAAGGGACTAGACGAGGTGTCGGACTGGTCTCTGAGGGTGAGGAGATGCTCGAACAGCGACTAGAAGAGCGGCGAGGCTCTGCTTTGGGAATCAGTTCTTATTTTTTTCTGACTTTGGTGACTGCTCTTTGCCAGTTTGGAAAACGAGAAAAGAGCTTGGAGAGCAAACACCTTGTGGAGGTGCTGCTTGAGTGGGGGTGGGGTGGGGATAAGGATGGCGCGGGGAAGGGGGTGAGTTTAGGGACGCGTCGTCCACAAGTCGGAGCTCTGAGGCTGGTGGAGGATGAGTTCTCAGCCAGCTTTGGTGAAGATTTTCTTTCCTGGGATGCACGACGCCTCGATTTCCTTCATAAGCTAAGTTTAAATGCGTGTACTCGAGGCGCACAATGAGGAAGATACAGTCACACTTCAAAAGTCTGGATGCACGCCACCAAGTTACATACAAAAGTTAACACATTTCAACCGCCATATTAAATCAAAAAAAAAAAATGCTAAAATAAATATTCGAAATGCATTTAAAAATTTGGAATCCTTTTTAATATATAAATTAATTTAAATTAATTTGAATATTAAAAGCGTAAATTGCAGCGCTTAAAAAAATTAAAAAATTAAAAAATTATCGCTACAGCGCTTTTCAGGGGATGCTAAATCTATTTACAGCGAATGCATTTTAAAATTCCGATTTTAACATTTTGTTTAAAAGCTTACGATAAGTTACAAAATTTAAAAAAAAATATATGTTAAAGGTTTTATAAATTATTATGGAATTTTACTTTTTCGATTATTTTTATATTTTTATTTTATTATTTTATTTGCATTCGAAAACTGTGAGGTTTGGTGGGAAATTGCGTTTGCACTCAGACTTTTGAAGCGGGGCTTTAATGGGAAGATTGAACAATTGCTGAAAAGTTCCCTCCCACCACATGGCGCAGGGGCTTGATTGTCCGTGAGATGACACGTCCCGCAGCTAATTCCTACGCAGGCGGCTTACCACCCCGCGGCTGTTCATGTCCACTCGCGACACAATGAAATGTCAAAGCTGCGAACCCAACCGCACACGTCCGCCCTCAGCTGAGTGAGCGGGCCGACTTCGGTTAGTGGGGTTAACGACTGTGAGCGGAGCTAAATGCATCCTTTTGATGACGCGTGCCAGCCGCCATTGATTCGGGCAATTCTTTCACGGCGTTGAACGCTCCCGTCCCGTTTAGCTCCCATGCCCCACCAGGTGGTAATGTTTCAAAGAACGCAAACCCCAAGGCTCCGATTTCTAAAATTGTATTTACATATGCGCCGCTTCTTTTCGGTGGACAATCATATTCTATGTAGCAGTGGAGGGGGGTGGGCAGTGTTTGGGCAAACAGCGGCTAGAATATTGAGTCCATATTTAGGTACGCTGTTGCACCCTGTCGACATCGACAATCACAACCAAGGCCGGCATGAGGCTGTAGTGTCGTAACAGGGCCCGGTTGGCAGCCCGGTTGGCAGGTGGTCTACCAGCCCAGCCATGTAACCTCAGCCACAGCAAAGTGGTGCGAGCGCAGCACGCATGGTTTTTGCTATGAGTGGGTCCTCAGCCGCGCCCCTGGCTAGGAACCTGTCGGCCACGCTTGATGGGCTAAGCGGTTGATCCACGACCTCACGCATTGGGGTTTGCAGGTTGGTCGCCGTCAAAGTGCGGGTGCTTTCTACCAGTTAGCCGTTTGAATCCCAGTCTCGAGGCTGAAGAAAAGCAAGAGTATTCCTTGGCAAACAGGCTCCTGGGCGTCTTTGTGTCTCAAATTTTCCTGGTTGAGTACCGCCTTATAAACTCGACGTCACAGGGATCGCTCTCACAGCATTGCCGTGGAAGATTATAGGCCAATTGCGACTCACCAAGAACAGACGCAACTGATCACCACCGCCGATATCACTTCGCAACGGCAGAGAGCGCCTAGCCAAACGCCCACCATGGATCGTAAGAGGCTGCTCCATCAGTTAGACACACCTTACTCGACGGTTGAATGGTGAGATTCCCAACTTCTAACATGTAGCCCTGTAAACCTTTCAGACGGTTGTCAACCTTGCCCAACTTCTTCTAACTGCCTCCAGGCCTCATATCCAACAGGACGATCAGGACTCGATCCTAGAGCTTCTTTGCAAGTGAGCTTTGCCCGATGGTATCCTGGCACGAAGCACGGTGCTGACCTCCAACAGTCTGCTCTCTCCTCTTGGCGAGTACCGAAGAAGATACGGCTCTCAGTCTAAGGGCAAGCGAAGCAAGGCCAAAAGGAAAGAGCAAGGGCAACTCGAAGAGGCACTGGCAGCCGAGGCAGTCAAACCACCACCGCCAGAACTCGGTATATATGTCGACGTCGGACTTGCAAGTATCACCCGGGGCCTGCAACAGGCTGCGGCCGACGGGAACCCAGACGGTGCCAAGACTCGCGGTGGCAAGGCTGCGGGTGGTGGCAATGCCGGCACTGTACCCTACGCCGTCGTGTTCGTCGCCCGGTCGGGACAGTCTTCGGCTTTCCACTGCCACTTCCCCCAGATGGTCGCCGTGGCTTCCACATCGTCGCCCGTCCGCCTGGTGGGCTTCAGCAAGGCCTGCGAGGACCGTTTGAGCGAGTGTCTGGGCATTCCAAGGGCGTCTAGCGTCGCCTTGAGGGCGGGCGCGCCACAGTCTCAGGCTCTCCTCGATTTCGTTGGACAAAAGGTTGCGCCTGTCGAGATCCCCTGGCTCAGGGAGGCCGCGGCGGCTGGCTACCAAGAGACCAAGATCAACACGGCCGAGGCCCCTGTGGGACGCAAAAGGCAGAGGCAAGCTTCAAAGGTGTGAGTCAAGGGCGATGTTTGCCACGCGTGGTGTGAGCACGGCCGGCCTGGCAACAGTAGACTCACGAGTAGTTTGTCAAACGCAATGAAGTCGCATCACCATTCCTCTATAAATATGCAGACACTCACCTAAGTGAAGAAAGAGACCACGGCGAGGCGGTTCGCAAACCCCCGCTGATCAAGGTGCCAGATATATGGTACCTACCAACATACGCACTAGTTGAGTGAGTGCCCACGGTAGATGGGCGGTGGCATCTGGGCTGTAAATACTTCTAGGTGCAGGTGATCTGCAAATCAATATCTTGTCTGGTAGGCTGGCCCGATTGGGAAGCTACGCCTGAGGCGGTACTCGGGATGGAAAGATGGAAAGAGCACAGGACTACCTACCTTCGGCCTAGCCGGGCAGTCGTTGTGTGCCACTCGTGCCTTCCATTTTCAGCGCCGAGCGGGCTAGACACCTATATAGCCGTTGCACAAACTACAGAGAAAGATAGAGAGATCTTTTTGGTTGGCTCACGGTCAAGCAGAGCAGCAACTTACCCTACATTCCCTGCAAACGCGGGTTTCCACCTCCACACGCACTTTTTCTCTCCTCCAGCCCTGGTGTGTAGCAATTCACTGACCAGAGTACCTCTCCACATCTGTCGGCTTTGCTCGACGTTTGCGCACGCAACAGCAACAACCCGTCATCGGAAGTATCCCGCCACATACTCTGCAAGAACACCAGTCTGTCAGGTCGTCGGCATATCCCGCCTATCTACTCTCCTACAAGAACGCCAGTCTGTAGCTGGCCTCACCTGCCCATCTCTACTCAAAGAGTGCCAGCCTACCGTCGGCACTATAAGCCTGCCACCTCTCCACCTCCCTGCTGGTTGATCTCGACACCATATTGCCATCTCATCATCTCCCGCCCGCGCCAATCAGCCGCCATCTTAAATTCGCCATCACCTGTCTATGCCAACGAGCCATCCGGCCACTCACCAATATCAAGAGCGCCACGCAATATCAATCAAGATGGCAGCTCTCACACATGAAGAGCAGATGGCCGAGGCCAGAAGCTTCATGCAATCGACAGCCCCTGTCCAAGCGCGTAATCGCCCCCGAGGAGGCCGAGGAGGCGCTGGCAGAAGGGGCCAGGGAGACAGCCATCCGGGCGCTCAGGGAAATGGCCGTACAAATGCCCAGAGAGGCGGCGGCGGGGCCGCACAAGGAGGCGGCAGCAGAGGCGGCCGGGGAGGCGGCCGCGCAAGCACCCAGGGGCCTCCTCGTGGCAGTGGTCCTCGCGGTAGCGGTCCGCGCAGTGGTGGTCCTCGTGGTGGCGGTCCTCGCAGCGGTGGTCCTCGTGGCGGGCCACCTGCCCGGCATCCCTCGGCCGAGCCCAGCGTTTCCCATGACGCTGCCAAGAGCGGGTCCACGGGACAAGGTATGTACATGATATCTTTTTCATTCTACAACACCTTGCCTCATCTCAGGTGTCTATACGGCACTATATTCCCTTTGACGGTATCCCCAGCATAATAGGCAGAGCGCTAACCAGCCACATCAACAGAAACCGCTGCGGCTGCTGGCCCGCCTCCTGCTCCCCAGCAGCAGACGGCGGCCATTGCGGCCAAACCCGCCGAAACCCTAAAGGCCAGGGAGGCGGCCCGCGCTGCTCCCGCGCCCACGGGGGTCCAAGTCGGTGCCCTGGCGCTGGCCGAGGCCGAGGGCGACGTCGACCTCCCGGCTCCGGTCGTGGAGTACTACCAGCCGGGCGGCACCTTCGTCGCGGTCGATGGGTCCTCGGACCTCATCGACCTGCACGAGGGCGCCTGCGCCTGCGAGAGGCGCAGGCAGGCCAAGGGGCTGGCCGGCTCCCGGTTCGCGGTCGCGAGTGTGGCGCCGAGCCACAACGAGGGCCGGTTCACGGGCATCTGCCCAGTCCACGACATCTACGAGGGGATTTAGATCCCCCCGTAGGTAACGTGAGACTGGTCTGCCCGGCCGCGCTCGCCCGCTCCCGCTCCCCTTTCTTTTCCCCGGGCCCCTCGGGGTGGCTTGCAGGATGGCGCAGCCCCGGCTGCTATTTGTGCCCGCTGCGGCTATAGATAGCCGAATGAAATGTTGGCAGCCGTTTGAGCTCTCCATTGCCGTGATGTATTGGCAGTGATGACGGGCAAACCCTTGCCATGAATCGTGATGTTCCTGTTTGTGCACCTACATACTGAAGTTTCGCTCTGGGCCCCGTGTGTAATGTGGTCCTGCACTCAACCTGCCATGTGTGATTATCTTGTGGTCGATGCGCGATATAGAATTGGCATTTAAGAATTGTTGACTTGATGGTATGGTCCAATGGGCGATAGGTAATGAATCCGGGTAATGGGTGGATGGATGTGTAGATGTAACCGTCTCCAGGTTTGCGGGACGGTCAGCAGCGAGGCGCAAGCTACCTAACCAACCTCCTTTGGGCAACTCCGGCCGCCGGCTCGTGCGGCCGCAACCTTGACATGGGGGTCACTGGAGCCGTCTCCATCCGCGGCCCCGCAATGGATGCTGGGCAAGTTGGCACACATGCACCAGTCTGGGATTGAGCATGGCCGCCCATATATACTATATACCTTCAGGGCTGCAAGGTGTCTGGCTTCTACCTCAATACTCTCCCCCGAAAACCTTTTGCCCCCAAATCTGGATCGAGTGCCAACCCTGAGCTACCGCTGAAGCTACAGGCGATGCCACGGCGGCTGACAGCGAGTCACGGGGTGGTCAAGGTGACCTGCCTGAGCTAGCAGTTGGCATTTTCAATGCACTCGGGGTCGGGTCTACCAGTCCCTAAGCTTGACACTGGAACCTTCGCCGGCGCTACTCGATAGTGACATGGACAGCATCCGCCTCGTCCCAACCTTCCCCGCTCATGTATCCATGAATATAACACTCTCCAACCAGCTGATAGATCTTATGGCCATCGCCCGCTGCTCGTGAACCTTGATCCCCGCCAGTGTCATTGGGACTCTCCCCTGAAGGCATACCGTTGCCGTCGCCAGCCATCACCGCCCTATCTCGCAATATCCATGCCACTTTCGTCCCGGCTATCAAGCTCACCACATCATCCTCTCGCAGACCCAAAGGCCCGATGCCAGTAGTCCCGGAGTACGTCACAAAGAACCGACGCCAGCCGCCCGAAGCGTTGTAGATGAGAGTGAATTCGACCGCCTCGTCCATGAGTTCGTAGATATCGTTGAGTCCGTTGAAGCGAGCCGGAACCTCTGGAGGTACCACCCTAGTGGCGAATATCTCGCACACCTGCACCCAAGACTGGAATTTAACCGCGAACTCGTCGGGCGCGCGGCTGGAGCCGTCAAGGACGCTGTCGGCAATCATGGTTCTCCAGAAGGCCTCTTGGAGCGTCTGGCCGCCCGCCTCGAGCTGGTCCCGGGCCGCCGCCGCCGCCGCGAGCTCCCTGCACTGAGCCATGTAGTTCACCATGGCCGATCTGTCCACCAGCTCCTCTGGGTGGTCTGGTCCCTTGGCCAGCACCATGTCGAGGAACACTACGCGGCAGTGCAGCCGCGGGGCGCCAGAGGCCGCATCCGTGGATACCTTGAACGCCATCTTTGAGCCCCCGGCCGCTTCGTACCAGGCCTTGCTCGCAAGGTATTTCTCACTCGATTCTTGTGACCAGTCGACCACCCAACTCGGCAGCCCCGGCATCCGGCTAGGAGATCCCACCCCCGCCAGGCTCAGCAGCTCCGGCCGGGCGTTCTCCACCAAGATGACCGCCATGAAGTCGGTATACACCCTCTCGACGCTATGGCGGTAATCCGGCTTCGGCATCTGGCTGTCAACGAGGCTGTAGAAGGCAAACAGCTTGTCCCGCAGGTCCGTCGCCAGGAATCCGCGCGACGCCATCACGATGTCCGCAATGTCGGCCCTGGCCCTGTGCAGCCGGTTCTCCCGGATGTAATTCATCTTGCGGACCTGCTTCATCCCCCTCAGCGCCGGCGCCTCGACCTTCGTTATTGTAGTATCCTTCAGCACGAGCTCCTCGAACCGGTACGCCGCGACGCGGTCCGCAAACGTCGCCAGCACCTCCCAGCGCAGCGGCGCCGCGTCCCCGCACAGCACGGTCGCCGACCTTGCGAACGCGATCTCCTGCGTCACCCACACGCGCTGGAACCACGGCCGGGCCAGCACCGCCGCGGCCTCCCCAAACGGCGGCCGCGGGCCGCCGTCGCTGTCGCGCGCCTGCTCGAGGCCCATGCGACGCATCTTGGCCGCGAACGCGTCCTTCCCCAGCTCGCGCTCGCCCTGCAGCGTGCGCTCCACCAGGCGCCGGATCGCCCCGACCCCCGCGGCGGTCTCGCCGTCGCCGTCGCCGAGCCAGACGACCACCTCGTCGGCGGACTGGTACACGGCGCCCATCATGGCGACCTGGGCCGACTTCTCGTCGTCGTCGGCCTGGTTGATGCACAGCTGGTCGATCCAGAAGAAGCGCTCGCCAAGGGGGTGGTCGCTGCTGCGGACGGCCTTGTTCAAGAAGGCGTACAGGTTGGGCGTCACGCTCAGCTCGTCGTCGTCCGAGGTGATGACGCCGTCCGTTGGCGGCGCGCCGGTGGTGGTGGTTCCCCATGTGTAAGAGAGGGCGATGTAGGGCTCGATCGGGTTGTCGACGGGGGTCTCGATGAAGGTGCAGCCGATTTGGTCGGGGGAGTGCTGGAAGAGGTAGAGGATGCGGATGGTGCGGTCGCCGGTAAGGGGCTCGTACTGGTAGTGCTTTGGCTGGGTGTTCATCGCGTCTATCGCTGTCTTGATTTGTGCCTGGACTGCGTCCGGGAGTGCGTCTACGCCCGAGAACGCCTCAAGCTTAGTCTTGATCTCGGGCCATTCCTTACGCAGTGCGCGGAAGAGTTGCAGTGGCGCCAGGGAGAGCCATTGTGCTGCGAGCTCCACTCGAGCGATATCGATCTGATCGATTTTGCCGTCGTCGCCCCGGTGCGCCGGCGAGGACTTGAGAAAACTGGTGCATTCCCGAACGCCGAGCCTTGAGAAGTCGCAGGACGGTATGGCCTTGGCCGTCAGCTTGGCCAGAAAGGAAGCATGGCGCGTGTACGACGGCTGGCCGTGATATCGACCTCCTGTACACCACACTCCAAGTCAGTGGTGATAACACGCAACAAGAAGCTCACACGGTGGCCTAAGACGATGGCACAACTGACCTGGCTCAACAGACGCTCCCATCATGTCCGCGAAACCGGGCAAACCCTCCCATTGCACAACAGTCTTCCCGTCCACGACAATAGCCCGAAGTCTCTCCATCTCGCTGACTAGCTCCACCAACTGCGGTGCGGGGTGCTGTCAGCTCAAACATTGACATCGAAAAGGATCTGTGGTGAGGGGATGCACCTACCTGGTCGTGCATCTCGGGGACTGTCGGCGATAGCGCCCCAAACGATCCCCAGAGGAACGACAAGACATCGTCGGCGGGGATCCCCTCCTTGACGGCCTCCTCGACATGCGAGGTGAACAGGACGGCCGCTTCGATGCCCAAGATCTCCCCAGCGGAGAGCTTCTCCAGTACCTCTAGTCTTGTGGTCCGTTAGCCAAGCTGCGGGTGAAAGACTCGGGTCAGCTCAAAAACCACTCAACTGCTTCGGCCGCGAGGGCCAAGGATCCGAGGCTTGCGTAAGCTTCTCCAAGCCGATGGCGTGTTGAGATTCCATCTTCACAAGTCGGTTGTTGTGTTCTATCCCGGTTTGTTTTTGGCAAAGCTTTGGGAGCATTTCTGCCTACCAGTCCACCGAGCTGAGACGGGTAGAAATCTTACGTCGACAGCAGTGGCCGTGCAGCCTCCAAACCCCTCTCAGGTTATCGAGGTAAGGCTGGAGCGGCTGTCCAATCGCTACACTGATATCATCGAGCTCCTGTTGGTTGGGACACAGCTCCAGGCTGCACCCCTCGATCCCCGCTCCATCGTCTCTAGTTGGATAACCTCGATACCGTTGGATTGTTTACCGCGTGCATGAGCATCTCGCTACACCAAACCGTGCGGAACGGCAAGCAAGATGGTATTCGTGGATGACGACCTAGGTAGGTAGAGAGGTGGGCATACATACAAGAAGCAAAAGACCCAAGATTCCACAACGTCGTGTTTGCCCGCCCGACAAGCCCAAGTTTGTGGCTAATGCAAGTGAATGTTTTGCGAAACCCAGGTTACAGGCACAATCCTAGAGACGTCGCGTCAAGAGGGGGTTTAACAGTATAAATGCTTGCACGCCACACACACACACACACACACACATACATACATACACACACACACACACACACATACATACATACACACACACACACACACACATACATACATACATACAGGAGAGTAGGATATTAAACGTTAAAAGTGCGGAGCCCTCCAGCGTGGGTTGTCAGGGATAAGCATGCGTGAGGGGTCAAGTAGGGGCTACACAGGCCACCGCACAATCGGTAGTAGAAACCAATGTATTGTCAAATTGTAGCGATACATTGATTTGGCAGGATTTTCTGTGGGAAAAAGTGTAGTTGGAGATCCCTGAAGGGCTCCGCACTTTTAACGTTTAATATCCTAGACTCCTGTACCCTCTTAAGCCAGTTTAATTCAGCAGGCACATTAGATGAGTAGGGATCGCAGAAGTTCTTTTCACGCAGTGGCTTGATAATAGAGTTACCTCATCCGAGGCCCTTTTCCAGACCATTTGTTGAATTAAACCGGCTTGAGAGGGTACACATACATAACAAACGAGCTCGACAAGCTCTGTTCCTCCCCATACTTTATGTAGACGGACGGGCCCCACACACGCGCTGCACACAAACGCCCAAAGCTCAATGGCGTCTTGACCGCGTGCCCGCCGAACGACGTAGGAAGCCGGACCCCCCTCCGCGGCGGTGTGATGCCGCGACGGGAGGCGATTGGGCAATGGCGCCGAGCCATGATGGGGCCATGCAGGTTCCAGAAAAAAAAACCCCGTCTTTTTGTTGTTGTCAGGGTACCACGTTCCTGGATGCTTGGAAAATCCCGAGGCCAACCCAACCTGATTTACTACCTCGGTACCTGCTACCTACATAGTCGCCACCTCCCCTAACCCATCACCTGCAATGCATTGGTGCCCGGGGGGATGTGTCTCGTTTGCGTGAAGCGTTGGCGTCGGGTTTGAGCAATAGATGGGCTCCGTGATGGGCCGAAGCAGGTTTGGGCGGATACTCATACCTAGCTAGTTACGTAGGTATAGGTACGTTTGTTCTCGCATGAACTCGTTGGTGTGTGTGTGTGTGTGTGTCGTCAGATCCTACACCTGCATGCCACTTCAGTCATGACCCCTCCTGTCGCGTCTTGCTCCTTTGTTTGTTTATTTGTTTACCTCGTCTCGTGCGTCGTCCAACATGTAAGAGCTTAAACCGCCTCGTGTGTTGGATTGCATGTTTCCGTTAGGGGTATCATGACACAAAAAAAAAAAACCGTCCAAACCTCCCGCGCGCCCGTAGAACGCGAGCCCGCGCACCCTTTTCTTCCCAATGCTCCCAGCTCCCCTCCACCGTGCTGCCCTGTTTTCCTCCTCCTTGGTTTGTCCATTTGTCCCAGTGAGATGGCCCGCACATGATGTGGTATGTGCTGGTTGAAATTTTTGACTCTACATTGTTTGCTCCCGCTTGTATCGACGCCAGCCACATGCAAGAAACCCGAAAAAGTAGGATAGAAAAAGGCCATGAATCCCCAAGTTCCGGTCGGCAACATCCAGATACGTGGGCAGGTATGGGACTGGGGGCTCGAAAAAGTTCACGAAACCACACTTCCGCCACGTAAATATATACCCACACACCACGAACTGTCATCCCTCCCTCGCCACCCGTCCTTCTTCTTTAGATGTTGTTTACCTAACACCGCTCCGTCATGGAGTCCAAAAGGCGCCGGTCCACAAACGCCATGACCCAAGGAGGAAGGTCCGGTTGGAAAAAAGAAGAGGGCAGCAGAAACGGCGGATCAAACCAAGCCCACGCAGCAGCATTCGGTCGATCCCCTTGCCCCTCCCCGCGTCCTTCACCGAAATTTGGTAAAGGACTTGTGCGCCAGCGGCGACATTGCCGACGGGGGGACGGCCGGGCGGCCCGCGCGGCCGTGCGAGGTCCTGGCGCAAAAGGCGCAGATGTAAACCGAGGGCATCATGCTCCGCTTCGGTATGTTGATACACCTGCCGTGGAGCCACAACTCGCACGAATCACTGACAGGGAGAGGAGGGTCACGAAATGCGGGTCAGCAATCATCCATCACTGGCAGGAGAGAACACGAACGGGGATAGGGACCAGCCGGCGGGTCCGGGGTCAAAAAAAAAGGACTCACCACTGCACCATGAAGCCGTCCCGGTGGTGGTCGACTCCGGTGTTGTCGCACACGCAGCGGATGCCGCGCCCCGTCCTGTTCGCGGTCGAAGGCGTGGGCAGGCTCACCTCGGTCAGCGTCGTCGGCGAGGTGGCCGCGCTGCTGTACTGCTGGTGTTGTTGTTGGTGCTGCTGTGGCTGCTGTTGCGGCGGGTGTGCGCGTCCAAAGCTGGTGGTGGTGTTCGTGGGGGCGCCAAACCGCTGCCTCGAGCCTCCGCTGCCCGGGACCCTGAGCCTCGGCGGCGCGCCGCCGCCGCCGTTCTGTCTGCTCTGCCTCAGCCTCTCGAGCTCGCTGGCCGCGTCCCCCGCCCCCGAGGCCAGCCGGCCACCGCCGTTGACCACCGTCTCGCCATCGCTCTCCGGGTCGTTGCTGCTGCTCCCACCGCGGCCCAGGATCGAGCTCGAGGCGCTGTGGACGCTGAGGCTCCGCTGCGAGGGTCTGTACTCGCCTCCGGTCTGGTACCGCGCGCGCTGTTGCCCCGAGACCTTGAGCGGGTCCGGGATGGCGAATGAGGTGTTGCGGCTGGGGATGATGATGGGCTCGTCGTCGGTCGAGGACGCGTCGTCGTCGTCGTGCCCACCAACTGGGCCGCCGCCGTCGTCGTCTGTAGAGTCCCACCGCGACGAGGATCTGCTGCCGGCCATTGCTTTCCGCGAACTCCGTCCTCTCCTGGCAGCCGGCGGCGGCTCATCATCCGCAACGACCGTGTCGACCCGCGCCCTTCCGTTGGCGTCGATGGTGAACTTCACAGATGCGCGGTTCATCATGACGGCCGCCGCATTTGCCGCTCCCGGCGACGACTCGGGTATGGAGGTCAAGCTCGGCAGCCGGTGGCCTTGGTTCGACTTTAGCGGCGACGCTCGGCCGTTCGGCGCCGACAACCTACCGTGCGATGACGGGCGGCTCAGTGTTCCCGTCGCAGGCTGCAGACGCTGCAGTTGGTTCTCCAAGGCCACTACCGTGTGGTGGCTCGAGGTGCTCGACGCGGATGATGGCCTGGTAATCTGATGCCTGCTGCCACCACGGTTCTCGCTGAAGCTCCGCGATAGGCCCGCCGGCCGGGGCTTGGCCGGTGAGCTGACGGCCGCCCGGTTTCCCCTCTTGCTCGAGCTCGGCTCCTTCACGCTGTTCGCCCGACGGAGCTCGCCCCGTACCGCTGGCGCCTTGGCGGAAATCCCGAGGCCCTTGGCCGAAGCAGTCGCTAAGTTCACGTTTCGGCCATGGTTCTGGTTGTCGCCTTGCTGATGTGGTGGCTGTTGGCCCGACGCCGGAGCGAGGGCCCGATGTGCCGCCACACTCGGGATCTGTTGCTGCATCTGTTGCTGCTGCTGCTGCTGCTGCATGGGGTTGAAAACGGCCTCCATGCTGGAAGAAGGTGGTGGCCGGCTGAACAGCATTCCCGGGTCCACGACCTGACCGTGAGACAAACCGAAGCTATCCTCCATCGAGGTCTGGTACATGCTTGTATCAACCATCATGGACTGTCTCATCGCATTTGCACTTGTATCCAGGGTCGGCATCATGGTCTTGGGTGCCAACGGGCGCTCTCGCTTGGCAGGGGAGCGGCGGCCGGCCTGGGGCGGTCGGCGGGCCTGTTGCTGAGGCAGCTGCTGCGTTTGGGCATGTTGTTGTTGCTGCTGTTGCTCCTGTGTTTGCTCCGGCTGCTGCTGCTGAGGAAGCAGGCCCGTCTCCTGGAACATCTGGTTTGCCCTTCCCCAGTCCATCGACCCGGCAGGCCGGTGCTGGCCCATCTGCGTGGCTGTTGCGGGGGTCTGGAACATCTCGGCGTGCTGAGCGGCCGAGAACTCGAGTTCCATTCCGCCCATGGATCCCGCCTCCGTCTCCCAGAACTGCTGCGAGTTCACAAACGAGTGTGCCGAAGCCGGCGCCGACATGGGGAAGCCAAACATCTCGCTGGGGGAGGTGACGAAGACGCCCATGTTGTGGTGCTGGTTCCCCGCGCCAGCTCCGGAGAAGTCCCCGAAGCCCTGGTCATTCTGCATCGCGCTGGTCTTGGCCTTGGGGGCCAGCTTGCGCCCTCCCTTGTTGGACGATGGCGGAGGGGTGGCGGTTTGTCCCTGGTCGTCGTGGCCGGCGACGCCTAGTCTTGCCTTCTTTGCCTTCTTTGGGGAGCGATCTCGGCCGGATGCCGAGGCCCGACGTGCCGAGTCCTTGCTGGAGTCCTCGCTGTGGGATGGGGAATGGGCGGCCTGGGCTTCGTCGTGCGTCAGGGCGAGTGCGGCGGGCGATGAGGGGAGTCGCTGTGAGGGGTCGACGGGCGGCAGAGGGAGATTCGAGAAATGCGTGGCATGTGTCGCGATCTCCTCGGCGATTCCCTCGGCCGACAGGCGCCTCTTGTTCGGGCCACCAAGAGCTGGAGACGATTGCGGCTTGTGGTGGAGGAAATTCGCTGCGAAGGGCGTGCCGGAGCCAAACTCGCCGGGAAAGAAGCCGCGGCGGGGCGAGGCTCTCAGGTTGCCGGGCGTGGCGTTGAAGAGGGAATACTCCTCGGCGAAGTGAGGAGTCCAGCCGCCGGAATCGTCAAGGCGGCCGGTGGCTGGCCTGGGGGTTTCGAATACGGAGCTCGGTTGGACGGTCGTCTTCGGGGTCTTTTGCAGAGGCGGCGAGGGAGGCGGGCGGGCGTTCGGGGCACCAAAGCTGCTACTTTGTGTCGGCGGGCGTGGTAAGTAAAATGGTACCTCTATATCTCGGCCATCTCGCCCAGCCACTGGGAGTTTGGGCGGGAGAAGCTTTGTGTGTGCAAGTATATGATCAAGGGAAACGAGAGGGCGATTGAGGGGCATCCCCGTCGTTGACGGTTCCAGTGGTCATAAATCTTGGGGTTGCAGAAAATTCCAGTCTGCAGACGGAGATTGTCCGAGGCCGGGAAGCACGGGGCATGAGGAGGGGAAGGCGGCGGAGAAAGGAGAAAAGAAGGACCGGAAAAAGGTCGAGGTCAAAATAAAAAATTTGGTAGCATACCCAGAAGCTAGTTGATCCACACTCATAGCAGTTTTTACTTTGCTCCGTCTTGTCCGGCATTCATGTGAGGGACTTTTGATATCACTACACCATTCCAGACGCGAGCGTGCAGGCAGGCGCGCCCAGAGTCCAGATATAAGAGAGCACCAAGCTTGGGGCCAGGCTTGTGCGTCTTAGGGGCGAATCGGAATCGGCTGCCAATAGGACGGCGTCGTCGGCGGGGAACAGGACGTTGACGGGTAAAGCAACAAGACTGGCTTCCACGAAAGCGAGCCGCTGTAGTATCGAGCTGGGTAGCAACGCGGGGAGAAGGGCAGAGCAAACCACGGTATAGCAGCGAGGGGTTCAGGCGGAGGGTGCGGATGTCTTGGTTGGGAGTATGCCGGGTTCGTGGTCTCATTCGCTCATTACTGAATAGGGTTTCGTGAAATAGCGTCGCTCGTACGGTAGACAAAAAGGAGGGATGGCACAAGATTAGAGGCTCTGAGAGTGAGAGGACAAGGCCCAAGGATTCGGGCTGTTTGTTAGCCCACGCTCCCAGCTGTACTGCCTTGATATTGGCCGTGTCGTATTTTCTCGCCCGTTTTCTTTTTCTGTTTCCCCCTCATCGGCCGCCACGAGAAGATGGGATGGGCCCACAGAGCCGGCCGCCAGTTGCCAGAGCAAGCGCAGGTGCAAAGCCGTGCAGGTGTTTGGGACGGGGACCACTGGGGCAGGGCGGAGGAGAAGGGAAGGCAGGGAGTCAGGTACCATTAGGCAGTCGTTGCGGTCGAGTCGAGGCTCTGTCGAGTCGCAAGGTCGTCGTGGGTCAGAGGAACCGCTGAAAATGGACTGGACGGGTCGTCGCAAAGGCAACCGGGAAAAACAGGGGCTTAAAACGGAAAGGAAGGATGGATTTTGGGACGGGATTGCATAAAAAAAGCATAAACCACAAACCAAACAGAACTAGGGTAATATTTGGCGGGAAGGGAAAATTCACAAGAAAGGGAAAGGGGGGACAAGATAGGCAAAAGAAAAAATAAGATGGCAGAAAAAAGGACAAGGGAACACAATATAGCCGCCCTGTTCGTTATGAGCAGCAGAGCTGGGGTGCAAGAGCTGTTCGGAGCGCAAATTATAAGTCCAACCCGAGGGAGAAACCTTGCTTTTTGGCGGACAACGGGGTGGGATCCGTCAGATGCTCGGGCCAGGTGGAAATGAAGCGCACACGACGAAGCGGGACCGGCTGGAAGCGGCCGTCGCCGTTGTTGGTTCAGGTAGTGCGAGGACCGTGCAAAAGGAAAATAGGAAAATGCCGCCGTCACGGACGCCACGGACGGGGTTGTGCAGCGCAAGCAATAGAGTCCAAGCGCAAGTGAGGCGCAAGACGGGGAGGGTCTGGTACCTGTGGGCGCCTGGGAGTGCCTTGGGAGTGCCTGGGAGTGTCTGGGAGTGCCTGTACTTACAGCAGTCTGTCCGTCTGATGGTTGCACCATGGAAGCGCCGGCCAGCGAGAAAGGTTGGACGCTGTCGAACGAATAGCAGGCCGCGGCGCCTCGCTCCAGACAACGACGCTCGACTCCTTCCCGCGCGGTCCACGGTGAAAGTTTACGCCAGGAGCTTCTGCATGTGCAAGTACAGAAGGGAATGCGGCCTGAATGCAAGAGAGGGGTGGTGGTCTGCCACCAAAAAAAGGGGGAGCTCAGGTGATCGACAGTGGAAGTGAAAACGAGAGGCAAGATAAAGGGAGAGAGAGACTTTCAGAATCCCATCCGCAAACCAACACCCGCCTGCTTCTCTCGGACAATCGGCATCCGTAGAGACAAGAGTTGGCCGGCGAAAGGATGGCGGGCGCAGGTACGCTATGGAGGACGGCAGGCAGCAAACCAAGGCCCGGAGCCCCAAGCGACCGACCTTTCCCCGGCCTGCGCTGCTCCCTGACAGGGGTGCTACCTCCACAGGACCCAGGCCAAGGCTGACGCCAGGCCTCCCGCCGGAGCATCGTGTACGGCGTGCAGGTACATAGCAATCCACGCGTGCCACGCTTTACCCACATTGGTCTACCCACATTGGGACACACATGTCGGGGGGACAGGCCCAGGCCGATCGAACTGCAGAAACGACAGATGACAGCAGAGTTGCGACGGACGGTGCATGCGTTCCCAGGGAATTGGAATTAGCTCGGCATTCACGTCATTCATTATTTATCTCGGTAGATCTCAGCAGATCTCAGTAGCCCTAAACTATATCCTCCATGTCGATGCTTCTGCTCTCTCTCTCTCACCTGCGGCCAGGTCTAGTCCTCACTAGACCCAGCCCAGCCACAGGTGACATGCAGTAGCTATCAGGCAGGATACAGGGTTCTTGGCGGGGACGGTCACCGCCTCTGCCGTCGCTCAAGATGACCAACACTAACCCCCTAGGGCTTGCTCTCAAACAAATCCAGCCCGACACAAAAGAGGGCGAGACATGCAAAATGGAGACCGGCGTCAGCGCTGGCGGAAACTCTGTGGATTTCAGCCATTTGGAAGTCGCCGCGGGCGAGGGAGCCAAAGCAACTGCAGCTTGCCAATGCACCTATGAGTCAGGGGAGGGCAGCAGCAGCAGTAGCAGCAGCATGCACGCGAGATTGGGTGGGCCGCTGCCGCTCTGTTAACAGTCCAGCGCCGCGATGCCTTCTCTGACCTAACAGAGACTCACTGGCCAAAGCCACGGCGCGTGATCCCGAATGCAGGTCCCGGAAGCTTGCGGGGGGTCCAGGGTTCTTTGCCTGCCTGCTTGCCTGCCTGCCTCAATGTACAGTAAGCCCGCTCGCGTTGCTTTTTCTCCCCTCTTGTGCCGGACCAGCTGCTCGAGCGGGCTGCTGCGTCTGCTTCATTTCCCGGCTCTGGCGGAGAAGGTCCCGTGTTTGTGTTGGATAGGGCTGCCAATAGGGCTGGCTGGGAGCCTCCCAACGCCCGCCCAACCACCACGGCTGATCCCTGCTGTGGTCTCCTCGTTCTGTGTTCTGTCTATCAGCAGCTAGCGGATCCCGTCTCAGATGTCTTGCTACGGCACAGCGGCTTTCTCGTCCCCGGATGTGCTGATCACCATTGCGGGTAAGCGTATTGGCTTGGCCCGCCTGTGAGCAATTTCCTGCCACACTCCCGCTCAGTCGGGGCCTTGCGCGAGCACGCGAGGTCCATTACGTGCACGGGAGAGGAAGGGACGGACATATCGAAGCTATCGGCAAGCCTCCAAGCCAAGCCAAGCCTCCAAGCCACTTTGACGCTCTCACCCCACGCAATCCCGGCCTCGGGTGCGGCCAAGAGGACAGCCACTGGCGCCATTTTTCATTTCAGTTTTTTTTTTTTTGCTTCTTATTTATACCTTCTTTTTTCGAACCCGAAAGTACTCTCCCACATTCCTGGCACCCCCAAAAATAGGCGTTACATCGTGCCACTCAGGTCGACACAAGTTACCAAACCAAACAGAGGTTTGCGACAGTGCGGTGGGTCGAGCTCAGCCAAACGCCCTCGATCCATCCTCGGTCTAGACAAGACCCAACGACCCAAACAGGAAGGAAGCTGTCGAGCAGGGATCTTAATTGCTGTGTCTGCCCAGGTCGGTGTGTTTGGTGGAGCGGAGCGTTGCAGGGGGAGCGGTGGGAGGCGACGAGACGTGCCAGAAGCTGGAAGCCAAAACACGACAGACCATTGCATCCGTCATTCGACATCCGTCATTCGACATCCGTCATTCGACATCCGTCATTCGATCGCTGTGGTTGTAGGGCAACCGACCGGGCGACAGGATTCTTTTCCCTAGGCGACAGGATCCTTTTTCCTAGGCGAAAGAAGATGGCAACATCACGCACCATCGCATCACCACCTCGTCGCCTTTGCTCTCCCTCCACCCACCGACGTCGACGAACTCATCAAGCCATCTCACACGTCCCTCCCGTCACCCACGGCACTGCCCACGTTTTGCCTTCATCCCATCGCGCAGTCTCACCTTGTCCCCCAACCCCGGAGCCTCCACGCTCGTCTCAGGGAGCCGTCCGGATTGTTGGAAGTGCCCCTCGCCACACCCAATCGACTGGCCAGGAGCTCGAGTTTGGGAACTTGCCAGCCGCGTGCCTGACTGGTCCCAGCCGCCCAATCGAAGAGGCCGTGTTGGCTTTCAAAGGGTTCAGGCCACCAGCTGAAAACCCCCGATCTTGTGCAGAAAGGCATTCCCCCTCTTTGCTGTACGCTGATCACCCCCTTATCAGGTCACCACCCCTGGCTTCAGCTCGCCACCTCCTGCCCGCCAACTCTTTTCTCCCTCTCGGCCGAACAGCGCCAGAGAGATGTCGGTGGTGGACGCAAGCCCGCCCAGTCGGCGACGGCGTGGGATCCCACGAGATTAGATTGTGTGTGTGGGGTAGGTAGGTTTGCTGCCTATCAGATGCCACACGTCCGTGGTTATCATCTTTGCCTGTGTTCCTGTTCCCTATCACCCTATCCTATCGCTGCTGTTCCTACCCACCCATCCGTCGTTTTCGTCTTGCAGTCTTTGGTGTTGTCGAACCTTTTCATCAACCGAGCTTCGCATCGGATGACGCGCCAGTCAGTCTTAAGGGAATCAAATCCCGACACCCTGTTGGTGGCAACTTGGCTTTCGTCTAGCTACTTCCTTTTTTGACTTGCTTCCTTCGTCTCATCCCCAACCGCTTGCGTGTTCCTGTGTGTGTGTGTGTGTGTGTGTGTGTGTGTGTTTTTACGCACATATCCTACATGCAAACGTGCACATGGGAAAACTCTCAGCAAATTGCCGAGCAAAGAGGCATCTACCATTGAGCCCGGGATGCCTTGCCCCTGTACGGTCCCCCGCGGGCGGCGAAACCGGTAGGGTTTTAATCTAGATGTTACTACAGAGAACAAAAAAGCCCATGATTTTGGAAGCGCCCACCAGCTCTATTTCGGGAGCAACCTGCATATGTACCTGTCTTCACCCCTCCCTCCCTTTGGCTGCCCTAGCCCTACCAAGCACCCCAGGTTCTTGGTCTGGTCCTGCAAAGGACCCTCCGAGTGACACTGGCGAGCCCAAGTGGTTTTCGTGTGCATCAGCCCTGGCTTTGGATTGGCATGCGCATGCGCACGCCACAGCAGCCACCTTCATGCACAACAACAACACAATCGCCATTCCCACCCACCACCAGGCAAGGCTCTGCCCAAGAGAGAGAGAAAGATGTGGAGGGGGAAGGGGTTCTAGCCGCCCGACCTGAAATGCCCCGGCTGCCTGCCCCACCACCCCAGGCATGTAGATCGGGCGGGCTTGGGTCCTGCGGCATTGCGAACCAAACGCGCATCACACAATGCGCGCACACGAGCGGGAGGGCCGCCGGGGGGGCGTGGGCGAAACACGGCCGAGGACCCGGCCCGGTCGATGATGATGGCCTGGAGTCGCCATCTTGCTCTTTTCCCTCTCCTCGTGCAGCCTATCCAACCCAGGCAGGCGGTAGCCATCCAGCCCTCTCCCTCGGAAGAACAAACTCTAACCACATTCTCTCCACCGTCAGCCCTCCCCGTGCGTTTGTATACATCTCTACTTATACCCTATACGACTTCCTCTGTATTGCCAGAAGGGACACATGGAGTGTTTGTCATCGGCCATGACTCGTGCAAAGTCAGAGATATTGAGGTCACTTGCTTCCCTCAAGGCAGTGCGTGCCGAGGCGCCGTCGAGGGGGAGGGGTGGCCGGTCCTCGAAGCCCGCCACCGGCTTGGGCCGCTTTGTTGGGATTCCCGTTTTTTCTGACCGAGGCGCGCGCGCAGGGCTTACAGGACGCGTCCTCTCCCATGGAGGCCTCCTTGGGCGTCGACAGGGCAGGGAACAGGCATTATAAAAGACCGAGTTTTCTGTCTCTTTGATCGGCCTGTGTATTCCCATGCCCCGACCCCGGCATTCCAACCAAGTGCTAGTGGGGAGGGTCTTGTTTCTTCCCCTTGTTTTTGTTTTTTTTTTTTTTTTGTCGCCTCGCCTTCTCTTGTTGAGACGGCTCGGCAAACAGAGATCATCCGATTCTCCGTATCCCCTCAGCCCAGCCCTGCTGACACGGCGAGGAGTCGGGGCCAGGTTGGCCTCCCTCCCGCCAGCGTGTGTTGGGTTGGCAGATGTCTTGGCGTCTTTGGTTGCCATCCAGACTTGTGCTCGGCCGGGGTTGGTGTTAAACAGTTGGAGTCAAATATAGTAATAGCCACACCAAAGGCATGTGTCACGGAGGGCATTACGACGAGGACGGATCGAGGCCTAGAGTAGAAAAATAGTGTATGAATTCGTGTTCGCTTTTCAGGCGATATGAAAAACCCCCCACCGGTGTACTACCACCATATTTGTTATTTTTTTTTTCCTTGCCTCCTTTGGGATTTACCAGAATCACATTGCACACCACCAGCCCAAAACGGAGAGGATAAATGAATAAACAGACCCAAGAGTGAGAAAAAAAAAACGGCTGGCCTACCTCAACCTTGCAGAAGGGAGGAGGACGATTTAAAGACAATGACCTAGTGGGGTAATAGCGGAAAGCAAACAAAGGAGAGAAGCCAAAGAGAAAGGAAATGTAGAAAAAAAAAAAAGGAAAAATAAACAAAGACTTTGCTGCTATTATGCAGGTTCAGCCCCCGTGTTGAGCCCCCTGTGAAGGGGGTTTGTATAGACAGCCCCGGCATCCAACTCTCCATGCTCTCCAGGTATTCCCGCCCAAAAAAACGAAAGCCTTTCGTCGTCGCATCTCCCGAGGTATAAATAAGAGGCCAAGGCACCCCCAAAAAAAAGAGGTAAGAGGCAAGTATATAAG